TTTTTTTTTTTTTTTATGTTCAATCTCACCATTTGGATGCTTGGAAGATAAAACTAAGACATGTTTGCCTTTAATTTTGCACCGGACCTTTTAGGTCTAGTGGAAAAAATTGCACCCATCGCACCTTTATTTTTTAATTTTGCCCATGATTCTCTCCCTTTTTTTTAATTTTGCCATTACAATTATAGCTCCATGACTTTGTTTTACATTTGATTTTTTTATTTACAATATTAAAATAACTTTGGTGATTTAATGTAATAAATAAATTTTTTATTATATAATAAATAAATAAATAAATTTTATTATATAGTAAATAAATAATATGTATTAATATTTTAATTGAAAATAAAAATTTAAGATTTAAAATGTTATAAATAACATTAAAATATATATATAAATAATTTATCAATAAATTTTTAAAATAAAGTTCTTAATAGTTAATTTATTCTCATCTCACCTATCTTTTGTATTCAAATAGATATTTTATCATTAATTTTAATCGTATTATTATAATAATTAATCTTAATTTCACTGTTATTTTCAATCTTATTAAAATTAATTTTACTGTTAATCTAAATAAAACCTAAAATAAAAAATTGTGAGACGAAACATGTAGCAAGGAATGAGAGAGTAAAATGGGCAAGAGTGAAAGAAACAATGTATAGTTATTAGAGATAATAATAGATAGAAAGAAAAAAATAAAGTAAATATTAATGAAAAGATATTGATTTTATTTTGATCCCTTAGATTTAATAAAAATTTTTTAAAAATATTTATATTTTATTATGAAACTTAATCTGCATTAATGTTCACATAACAAAAGCAAGTATATTAATGTTATGCTGTTAAATTCTTTTAAGAATGACACGTAATCATAAAATAAAACTATTATTAAAGATAATATTAAAATGAAATTAAAAGTTTTGATTCAATTATCTATAAAAATTATTAATAAATCATATAATTATTTATGTCATATTATATAATTTTATTTAAATAATTATATGTAAAAATATTTTACTTGTAATGTAATTATAAAAAAAATATAAATTTAAAAATCATTCACAACATTTACATATCAATAGTTAAAAATAACTACATATTTTTATATGTTAATCCACTAATGATATTATTATTGATATTTATTAATTTATTTTATTTATCGCCAATGTGATTATGTCTTATTCGATTACACCATTTTTTATTTTCCCTTACACCTTATAAATAGTCAAAAAATTTTCATTTAAATTACCAAGCACTGAAGTGTTTTATTTTAAATTATTATATCTTTCTTATTTCACATTTTTTCTCTATTTTTGACAAAATGGTTTGATTAATTTAAATATACATGTCAAATCCTTGTATCCAAATGTCAAATAAAGCAATACGGAATTATAGTAAATTATCATGTACCTAATTTTTGTTTATAGTTATAAATAATTATATAGATATATAATATTTTAGTAGGTATCACTAACAGTTAATAGAATGCTGAATTTTTTTTCAATAATTAAAGTTCAATATTTAATATTTTCAAAGATTCATTTGTATTATATATATAAAAGAATTTTAAATTGATTGCAATTTTTCTTTTCGTGAGAATCCCATTGGAATGTCTTTTAGTTTTAATAGGTCATGAGCTAGATCAAAATCATTTTCAATAAACCCTTGAAAAAAATCCTTTTTTTTTTTTCTGATCTAATTAAAAATTAAAGTGTGTATGTGTATATATATATATCAAAAGATATAATTGCTTACTTTTGAAATATGTAGTTATAGAGATATAAATAATACATTAATACTAATAAGTTATTCAAATTTGATTCGATTAAAACTTGAATTTGATTCGATAATTGTTGAGTTAAGCTCGAGCTCAAGTAACTTAACTTATTAAATGAGCCGAATTCAAACATATTAATATTCGATTCAAATAGTCCACGAGTTTAATCGAATTTTTTTTGTTATATATATTTATTATTTTATTTATAAAATTACTATTTTACCCTTAATATAAAAAAAAACCCTAAAATTTTATTTTCTTCTTTTCCTTTTTTTTGTTTCCTTCTTTCTTCCCGTCTCTTTCATCTCATAAAAAACCTTGTGGCATCCTTTCCTCCGAGTCCCACTCTCTTCCAATATTTCGAAGCTAGTTTAGACCAAAGTCAACTCAAATTCAAAACAAATCAAAGGTAGAAAATCCAAGACAAATCAAAGTTGGAGCAGCCTGCTGCGTGCGGCCTTTTTGCACAATTACAAAAAGATTTTTCATAGTAAGTGAACTTTACAGTGTAGCCATTACAAAAAGTCTGGATCCAGAATCTACTGCTCTTAATGGAGATGCCTTGGCTAAAATGTACTTAAGGTTGTTTGACTGGTATGGTTCACTCTTGCTGTCTTAGTATTTTGGAGTTGACAGTGCTTATTATTTCAGTTTTTTTGGACTTTTATTTGAGACTGTGGGTTTCCTTTTTTAATTCTCACAGGATCGAGGATAAGATCAATAGTTCAATTGGTCAGGATCCTGACTCAAAGTTCTTAATTGGAGTGCTGGATATTTATAGATTTGAGAGTTTCAAGACAAACAGGTGCTTAATTGGTATGCCTGTTGTTTTCATAATAGATTGATGTTGGTTTTCTTAAACCAATGAATAAAAATGGAAGTTGTGTCTCAAAGAGGCATATTTAGTATTGTGGTAGTTATGTATTATTTGATACTAAAAGAAACAGTGATTTGATGAGGCCTATTCTTTCACCAAATTACCCGTTAAGGCATTGTAAAGGTGGTGCACTTTGATGTTTTGCACTTTAGGGTTCTTGTCTTTTGATTTCTCTTTCAAATCTAATAATGAAATGTTAGAGATATATTTTCTTATTTCTGGAAATTGGGGAGGGAAGAAATAGAAGTTTTTCTGTTGATTGATCTTATGGATTTTGGAAATGCAGTTTCATTTTTTTCGAGTCTTTTCTTTTCTTTTCCTTTTTTTTTTTTTTGTTGTACAAGTGGTCCAAATAATTGTCTGGAGTTTTAGGATATGGTGCAATTGTTGTCTTTATGAGTAGGAGTGCAGTTTACTTTTTCCGTTAGTAATTAAATAATTAACTATATGCTTCTATTACCCTTTCATTTAAAATTTCAATTTCCCAACTGTCATGCAAATAATTCTCTTCTTGCCAAATTATTTTATTTCTCAAGTATATAATAAGTTTGGTAATAAGTAATTGGATATAATACATACTGCGCCCCAATTGCTCCTAGTTTCTGGGAACATTTGTTGTATTGAACATTTTTGATAGGGCATTACTTGGTGGGAGCATCTAAATCTGAATCAATTTGGCATTTCGTGGTCTATGTTGTTTGTTGTTTGTTGCTTGTCTTTTTTCAAGGCATATGTAGGACTCTTAAATATGCATGTTTAAATTCTTTTTGTCAATGTGGTCTTTGCAAGTTCCTATCTTTTTTTTCCTGTAAATGAATATATGTGTAATCTAATGTTTCCTTGTGGTAATTTTAGATATGTAAGCACGCAAATAGGTTGACTGGAGCTTTAAAGATCGGTTTCCAAGATAAATATCCTTTTTAAAAAAAAAAAGGATTTTGATCAATATGTTACTTGTACTTATTTGCTCTTTGATGTCAAAACTTCTGCTACGCATAGAATTGATAGGTTTGGTGGCCTATACTGTCCTATTCTGTAGGTTTGGCTGAGCAACTTAAAATGCAATATATTGTGGAGCTTCTTATTTGAAATTCTCAGTTCTATTCTGGTTTTAAACTTGAGCTTGGTACTTTTTTCCTTCATGAAAACGTCCTAGTTGTGTGAGTATAATGTCTTTCACGAGTCTTACTGTGGATTCTGAATTTAATGTTGTTCAATTTTTAGATGCATTAGAATAGTTTCAATAGATGAGTTTATATTTATATCATTGCTGTTGCTATCATGAATAGACCAGTCAACTAATGTCTAGTTGGTAAATGAGGTTGGCATTGCTGCTGCTACTGTCATCAAGAGTGAAGAGACTGGTTTATTACCTGTTTAATTTGGCAATGATGGTAGAGAGTTTCATGGAGAGTTCACAGAATGGTAGTTCTGATTGTGCTTCCTTTTTGTGGAATACGTAACATATCCTACGTGTCACTAGAATATCTTTCTTGCATACTCTTCCAATAATTTGTTGTGTAAATTTTTATTATTATTGTTATTGTTGTTATTGTTATTATTATTGTTATTATTTTAAAAATATAATATTTATTAAATTTGATAAAAAATAATTATAAAAAATTTTTATCTCGAACTCGAGCACAAATAATCAAGTTTTTGTCGAGTATAAAAATTGAGTTTATTTTTATATATTAATCGAATTTAATCGAACAAATTCGAGTAATTCGATTTCGATCACAAATCAAGTTTGAACTTAAAAAATAAAATTAAGTTTATTTTTATATATTAATCGAATCTAATCAAGCAAACTCGAATAATTCGATTTCGATCACAAATCAAATTTGAGTTAAAAAAAATAAAATTCGATCAAGTACGAATAAAATATCGAATCGTAAATTAATAGTCAAATTTAAACTTAAATTTTTTATTGTATCAATTTGACTCGATTTGATTATATCCTTAAATAATCATTCATTATCGAGATAAAGAATCTCGAATTATTATAGGTAATGATAATAATAATAATAATAACCATTTTCAAAATACGGAAAAAATATGACCGTTGAGACCAACTGATGGGATTTACCGCGACCATAGAGCTATAGCCATAGCCACTGTCCTTTGTTTGTGTCTAAGCAAGGGGTACGCCACAAACCCAAAACTATACACCTTGTCTCAGGCCCCTAAAATCTATTGGTACCCAAAACCTGAAAAAAGGCCTGTAAATGCAATATAAGCTGCAACGGCTAAATGCCTAAATCCAACAAAATGAAATAAAATCCTAATAATAAAAAGAAAAAGTTGCCTTGGCGTTTTGGGTTTGGGTTTTTTCATAACAAAAAGTCCTTTTAAGATACTGTCCATTGTTTGCTGCAACTGTCAAACATGTTGCAGATGATATCTTAACCGTTCATCTGCTGTTCATTTTATTACATGTTTTATGACAGTTCTGAGTTTATTTATGTCTTTTGTTTCTCCTAGCTTTTACCCCATTTCTTTACTTTGGTTTTACCAGTTTCACATTTAGAAATCACAGCTTTATAGTTTAGCTCTTCCTCCTCAACCTAACTCTCTCTCTTTTTCTCTTATTTTCTTACACCTTTGCCCCACTTCCTTTCTACTTGTTTCTAGTAGTTGCCATATTCCAGATCCCTTGCTCTTGTCTTCTTTCTCCGTGTTAGAGTCTTGTTTGTTTGATCAGAAATCAGAATCTTTTGAGGGTGTCTTCTGTATGGCTTTGCTAATTCTTCTTCTTCTTTTGGCAGTTTCTCAAGCAACAGCTGATGAAGGTAAGGCTTTATATTTTTCTTCTCCCTTCCTCATTAATGTTTGTTTGACAAGTTTCTTAAAAGGGGTTTGGCAACTAAGCGTCTAGTCAGTATTCTGATACTTTCTTCTAAGACTTTGATTCTTTAACAAATGTCCTTTGAAAGGGGTTCGCATTGTCTGGATTTTTTTCTGTCATTTTAGTGCTAGAAATCTGATGAACATGAACTAAAGTAACTTAAAAGAGTTAAAAAGGTCTTAGAAAATGTGTTTTATCTGTCTATGATTTTTTTTTTCTTTTTGATTTTGCCTTGGGAATTTAGCATGTTGGAAGCATTAAATTACAGAATAACTATAACTAAGGACAGAAGGAGGTTGGGGGTGTTAAAGAAAAACAAATAATATATGTATGCCCTACTTGTCAGCTAATCAAAACATATACATAACTGATAACTCTACTGGAAAGAAAGGTAGTATAGAAGGGGGACTCAATTATTTTAATGCGGGCCAGAGATTTTTCTGTGCATATTGTGGAAGCCAGCTTTCATGCTGGGGGGACTTGAGGAATATTTGCCCCTGACATTTTACATATTTTCTACTAGTACTACTTCATTCTTTTTTTGAATTTAGATAAGGAAAAGGAAACTGAAAACCCAAAACCAAGGTGCCTCTAATATTGTCTTCCAGCTAGATTCTAGAGGTGATTTCATTGGTTAATTCTAGTCCTTTACTGTTTTTTTTTTTAATCTTAAAAAAAAAAAATCTCTGGCAGTGGCATTACCGTTTGTCTTGGTAGTGAAAATGGTCAAAAGGCTACAGGATCTAGGCATGTTGTTGGCATTGGAATAGGGAACATACCATGCTTCATTATCTTTTTCCTTTTATCTTTTTGATGTAGCTAGCAAGAACCCATGTTTCAGTATAATTTTTTTTTTCCTGAGGGAAGTTTAGATGGAGAAGTTTCTTTGTTGGAATTATAGTGAACATGAGGGTTTTTCTATTGTGGTGAAGGACTATCTTGTGAGAAAAGAACAGTTCAGATGGTTGCCGCACTGTCCTTAAAATGATGTCAGAATCAGACATCCTTACCTTATTTTATCGTTACTTGGGAGAATTTAACCCAAGGAACATGCTTAATGATTGTAAAGGATTGACAATAACAGTCTAATTGCATCACGAAGATGCATTGCTCTTTAACAAATCTTTTGGGGGAACTTAAATGTACAATAACTAGCTGCCCAATCAATGTACTAGTGGAAAATGTGTTAAAAAATTTGAATGTGTAGCAATTATTTTAGTTTAATGTTGTTGCAGATCTAGGCATGTTGTTGGCATTGGAATAGGGAACATACCATGCTTCATTATCTTTTTCCTTTTATCTTTTTGATGTAGCTAGCAAGAACCCATGTTTCAGTATAATTTTTTTTTTCCTGAGGGAAGTTTAGATGGAGAAGTTTCTTTGTTGGAATTATAGTGAACATGAGGGTTTTTCTATTGTGGTGAAGGACTATCTTGTGAGAAAAGAACAGTTCAGATGGTTGCCGCACTGTCCTTAAAATGATGTCAGAATCAGACATCCTTACCTTATTTTATCGTTACTTGGGAGAATTTAACCCAAGGAACATGCTTAATGATTGTAAAGGATTGACAATAACAGTCTAATTGCATCACGAAGATGCATTGCTCTTTAACAAATCTTTTGGGGGAACTTAAATGTACAATAACTAGCTGCCCAATCAATGTACTAGTGGAAAATGTGTTAAAAAATTTGAATGTGTAGCAATTATTTTAGTTTAATGTTGTTGCAGATCCATATATTGGAGTGAATATAGGAACAGACCTATCAGACATGCCACACCCAACTCAAGTAGTTGCTCTCCTAAAAGCTCAGCAAATCCGACATGTTAGGCTATACGATGCTGACCGAGGCATGCTAGTTGCTCTTGCAAACACAGGCATTCGAGTTATGGTCTCAATCCCCAATGAGCAACTTCTTGGCATTGGACAATCAAATGCCACTGCAGCTAATTGGGTCTCACGGAACGTTGTAGCACATTATCCTGCAACCAACATCACAGCGATTTGTGTAGGTTCTGAAGTTTTAACTACTCTTCCTAATGCAGCACCAGTCCTTGTGAATGCCATGAAGTTCATTTACTCGGCCCTCGTAGCATCCAATTTAGACAACCAAATCAAAGTTTCATCACCTCTTTCTTCCTCCATAATCCTTGATTCTTTCCCACCTTCCCAAGCCTTCTTCAATCGCTCATGGAATCCAGTTTTGGTCCCTATGCTCAATTTCTTGCAGTCTTCAGGCTCATTTGTCATGCTTAATATATACCCTTACTATGACTATATGCAATCAAATGGTGTGATTCCACTAGACTATGCACTTTTCAAGCCTCTATCTCCAACCAAGGAAGCTGTCGACTCTAACACACTTGTCCACTACTCGAATGTCTTTGATGCTGTGGTTGATGCTGCATACTTTGCCATGGCTTTTCTGAACTTCACCAACATTCCTGTTATAGTGACTGAAACTGGCTGGCCATCAAAAGGTGATTCCAATGAACCAGATGCAACAATGGAGAATGCCAACACTTACAACAGCAACTTGATCCGCCATGTGATAAATAAAACTGGAACTCCTAAGCGCCCTGGAATTGCTGTTAGTACTTACATCTATGAACTCTATAACGAGGACATGAAAACAGGGCCAACCTCGGAGAAGAATTGGGGATTGTTTGATGCAAATGGTGACCCTATTTATATATTACGCTTGACGGGGTCAGGATCGCTGTTAGCAAATGATACTACTAACCAAACTTATTGTACTGCAAAGGATGGTGCTGATCCAAAGATGTTGCAGGCTGCTTTAGATTGGGCTTGTGGGCCTGGCAAAGTGGATTGCTTACCATTGTTGCAAGGAAAACCATGTTATGAGCCAGACAATGTGATTGCACATGCAACTTATGCATTTGACACTTACTATCACCGGATGGGGAAGACTTCTGATTCATGTGACTTCAATGGCGTTGCAGATATTACAACAACAGATCCAAGTAAGATGAACAGATAGCATGCATAGATACTAATATATTAAAAGCTTGTATTTACTACATTAATGCAACCTTCTTTTCTAGATTAAAAGCTTACATTGGAAGAAATCTAATATCAATTTTGATTATTGCAGGTCATGGCTCTTGTATTTTTCCAGGGAGGTAAAAATTTACCCATTTGGCTTAGATTTTTTAGTTGTTGCATAAAATGAATATGTTAAAAGCTTATCCTTCTCATAATCTAATAGTCAAAAACTCATTTGATTTATTAGTTGATGTATGATGCAGCATTGGTAGGAATGGAACCATGGTAAATATCACAGCACCATCGATGAATTCTACGAGCTCAGATTCACCTGGTCGAAATTTTTATGGCAGGGAAGGTTTCACTAGCATTTTATTGTTAATCAAAGTTATAGTGTGGAATATAATTTTCTTGTAGGCTTTGTTGTTGGTGTATTTTGGGATCCTTGGCAATATATTCAAGCAGATGTTGAGAGTAGAGGTGGTTGTGACTGGGTGGTTTTAGGAAGAGTGGCCTATTCAATTTTGTACAAAGTAAGATGAAAATCCTTATTATTTTCAGATTGGATTTGCAAGTTTTGATCAAAATCTATTCTGTTAAATCATTTAGGTAGGGTTTGGGTTCTTTTATAAAATTACCATGGCAATGTAATCACTAAGGTGATTTTATTATTAAGTTGATCTTATCACTCATGATTTGAAATTATTTTCTTTGGTTAACAATCATTAATTCTTAAGAATTAAATATCTATGTATTTGGTATTATTAAAAATCAAATATTATTCTGTTTAAAATACAAAAATAATCATGCATATTGTAATATTTCATAAATTAATAATTTTAATATTATTTAAAGATAATAATTTATAAACTATTAGTAATATTCTATTTATTCTATAAAATAATATAATTAAATTATTAAATTAATAAAAATATTTATTAATAGGTAAATTAATTTTTATAATATAAATTATGTAAAGAATATTTAAATTAGAAAATAAAAGGAATATTAAATTAATAATAAAAGAAAAACAAAAAAATTAAATTATATATAAAATATTAAAAATAAAAAAGTATTTTTGAACTTGTTGCAATAAATATCAATTTAAAAATATAAAATAATTACAATTTTAAGAAGAAGCAAGTTTTTTATTTACATATTAAATTATTATTATTGATTATTGTTAATTTTATACATCATTTCATCTTGATAATAAAAGTTTCTCATCTTTTTATATGAAAATTAGATCACATTTTAAGACAATAATCTAATTATTCCCAGTAATCCAAAATCATTACCATGTAAGATCATCAAATACTTATCAAACATAATAATGTAATCACCACGTGTAAATTATTATAATTTTTGGAGTTATCACCCCATATCAAATACTACTTTAAAGATTTTAGTTTTAATTTTTATACATAAGAAGAGTCATTGAATATTGAATTACATTACCAAACAAGTCTTTCTCATCCCATGATTCTCACCCACCTTTTTTTTTTTTTTACGAAGAAGCAATTTGAGGTAGGAAAAATGATTTTAAATGTTAAATTTTAAATTTCATACTTAAATTTCAAACTTGTTAGACGTCATGTTTATGTATAAACCAATGAGTTAAGTTCAAGCATCACAATTCTCACCCACTTTTAAGATTTACTAAATATTTGGACAAATTTTTTTCCTTATAATTGAAAAAGGCCATTACGAAGGAACTTGAATGAAAGGCTTTAAACTTTCGTTCAAAGATAACATAATGCTATTCTAGATTAAAAAAGAAAAAAAGAAAACAAAACTAAATGTCAAAAAAAAATTCATTAGAAAATTTGAATGAAGACTTTTGGTTTTTTATAGATGAATCAATGTGATGGACCATAATTTGATAATACCTCTAAATGATGGATAAATTGATGTATAAAAGAGGGTTGTAAAATTTTATTTAGGGTGAATGGTAGCAAGGTTAAGAAAAACACTTACATAGATATTTGTGCAAAAATTTACAAATTAAAAATTAATAATAATGTAACACAACATATTTATAGGATTATTAGATGACAATTAGCATGTATAGATAATTTTTAAATTAGAGTGTAATAGATAAATTCTAAATTGATAAATATGTTTTAGATTTTTAAAAAAATAAAAAGAAATTATAAGGAAATTTATTAAGATTTTAAAGTTTGAAATTAAAAAAAAAAAAAAGACTTTATGTCATAGATATGCTCTTTTAGTAGAAGAATTCACCATTGAAATGATAAGCTCATTCAAAACAAAAAATTAGTCAACTTAAGCCCAAAAAATGTTATCAAAATCGAATAAACTAAGTAAAACAAGGTTTAGGAGTTTAGTTACATAAGAGAAAAGTTATAGCACCACCACATACCCATCCAAATGATAGTACCATTTTATTTTAAATTTATCCTAAGATCTTTATTCTAATGGTCTTAAATTTTTATGTTTAAATATTGAAAATAATTCTTAAGATTCTCCATCAATCTGGTAGAACTCTCAAAAAATATTTTCTCACCTCAACAGTATTCAAGAATCCTATTTATTTCTTGAGAAGGCTCCGTCGTCGAAAAAAATGTTTAATTATTTTTTAATCTTTATTTCTTATTTTGAAAATATATCTAATTATTTCACCATTTGAGCCAAATTAGAAATATTTTCTCTCTTAAAATTTTTAAATTTTTCACTATTTGGACCTATTTAGAAATTCTTTTCCTTTTTTTTTGTTTTCAAAAAGAATATAATATGACAATTTTTTTTATTGAAATTTCATTTAAATTCTTCATCCATTTGAGACAAATTTAAAGAAATTTCTCACCTAAAATTTCTTAGGAATTCACCATTTAAAATTTCTAAGAATCTCATCATTAGATAATTATTAAATATTTTCAACCAAATTTAGAAAAAAATATAATTACTTTTATTGAAATTTCATCTAAATTATTCCACCATTTGGAACAAATTTAGAAAAAATTTCTCACTGAGAGATTTCTTAAAAATTTACCATTTGGAATCTCATCCTTGGGTAATTTGTATTTAATTCCAAAATTTTTATTAATATTTTTTATTTTTTTCTTTTTTTATTGAAAATAAATATTAATTGTTATTATTAAAATTTTATCTAAATTATTCCATAATTTAGGACAAATTTAGATAAAATTTCTCACTTAAGAATTTTATAAAAATTTACCATTTGAAATTTTTATAAATTTCATCATTGGATAATTATTATTTATTCTAAAAAATATATTTTATTTTTTTAATTTTTCCTTTTTTTAAAAAAATTTAATCATACAAAAATAATAAATATACTAAAAATAAATAAATAAAAATACAAGAATAAAATAAAATACCAAAAAATTGGCTCGACTTGACTGGGCGACTAGAGATCATCTTGGCTGCAGGCACAGACAATGACTCGAAACACGGCTCAAGGGACAATCGACTCAACTCAGTAGCAAGGTCTGGTTGGGAGGTGGATCGACAGATCATGTTGCGATCGGGTCAAGTCAGCTAAACAAAAACACGCGGATCTTAGGGCCTTATAAACACCAAAACGATGTCATTTTGGGGTCAATATAAAAGCTTGAATCTAGTCTTTTTCCACCAAATTTTCTTTTTCCCTTTCTTTCTTCCCTTTTTTTTTCTCTCCCTCTCTCTCTAACCAGGATGAACTTCGATCGAATCCCTCATTGAATTCTAGAAATCTTGTTGGAATTTGGGTTGGTTCATCAAAAGTTCACTGAAAAATTAACCGAAGCCTAAAAACTTATTGAAAAATTTAACCGGTGTCGAAAAATTCACCGAAACTAGGAATTTTCACCAGAATTTGAGAATTTTCTAAATTTTTCCAAAAATCTTCAAATTTTTTTTTATTTTTACTGATCATTTTGCTTTTTGCAGTATATTTTTTGCATTTTTTGTGTGATTTCCTTCTATTTTTTGTGTTTCTCAGCTGTAATCTTCTGATTCACGTTTCTGTGTATGATATTGTTGATCTCTCTCTATTTCTTTATGTTTGTTGCTTCTAATCAGTGGGCTTTATAGAAGGCAATCATAAGAGTTTTTAATTAACTCTAAGTCCACTTTGATTGGATTTTCCCATTATCATAACCCATTATATTTATCCTATTGCATATTGAAACCAACACCAATTCCTCAAACACCAATCCACAGCAAAATTTTATTATTTTTAGTTATTTTTTTAATTATCTTAACACTAGAAAAATTAGAGATAAATAAAAAATTGAAAAATTAGAGATAAAAAACAAATAAAAACCAGTAAAAAGATAAACCCAAAAATAAATAAATAACTAAGTAAATAGATAAATAATAAATATAAAATGTAAAATAATGTATGACTAGGCCTAAGAATCTGGACCTTATTGAACCGGGCTCAATAGGTTTAGGCTCGGACCCTGTTGAACTAGATCCAATGGGTTTGAGCCCAGACCAATTAGGGTGTCTACAGCCATCCCTCTTTGTATATTTCCTATGCAACAAGAATTGTGTAAAGACGTAGACATACTACATATGATTATCCCAACACATTCATTTTTATTTTGTTTTAGTTTTAGTTTTTTTTAAATCAAACACTCAAACTGGCTAAATGACACAAAACTCCCCTAAGCAGAGGCTTACAACTTAGGAAAATAAAATAAAGCTCCTCTAAACAGAGGCTCAACGACTTTGAAAAATAAAAAAAGCTCCTCTAAGCAGAAGCTTAATAACTTTGAAAAATAAACAAAGCTCCTCTAAGTAAAAGCTTAACAACTTTGAAAAAATAAATAAAGCTCTGCTAAGTAGAGACTCAATAACTTTCGAAAATAAATAAAGCTTCTCTAAGCAGAGGTCCAACAACTTTGAAAAAATAAATAAAGCTCCTCTAAATAAAGGTTCAATAACTTTCGAAAATAAATAAAGCTTTTCTAAACAAAGGCTTAACAACTTTGAAAAATAAAGCTCATCGACAATTATGTCCAGAAAGTCATAGATCAAGTCTGATGAAATTGTAATAAAAACTCAAAGACTCACAATTTGAGTTCGAAATTCAAAGTTTCTGCTTCGAAAAAACCTTTCAGCTTCATAAGAATTCACTAAAATTTGGTTCACAAAATTTTAGATATGCAAGAATTTAGATTTGCAAGATTTCAAGATTTGTATTTGTGAGATTCTCATCCAAATTTTTAATTCAGGGATTTGCATGCAAATTGCAAGGCTCACATCCAACATTTAAATATTCTCATTCGAATTTTGGAGATTCACATCCAAAAGTCTAAAGCTTCTCATTCAAGTTCAAAGGTTCACATTCAATAAATCTTAAAGTTTCATATATAAAATCTCAAAGGTTCTCATTTAAGTTCTTCTTAAAGATTCTCTTTCGAATTTGAAGATTCACATCCGACAAATTTCAAGGTTTCACATCTCAATGATCTTCATTTAAAACTCGAAGATTCTCATTTGAAAACTCAAAGATTCTCATTTAAAATTTAAAAATTCTCATTTGAAATTCAAAAAGTCTCAAAGATTCTCATTTAAGGATTCACAATCTTGTCTGAAAAGACTTCATCAAAATATTCAAAATTTCTTTTCTAGATGATTTTCAAACTTTGATCAAAGTTAAAATTTTATATGTAATGAATGTTATGATCAATGATGCAA